CAAAATGAGCCAAGCAACTACAAACAAGATCCACATATCTAGAGTTAAAAAGGAAACTTTGCAGGCCATTGATCAATTAACAGCCAGCTTAAACTCCAATCCTCCTTTGGATTCTTTGCTTTAGTAGGAGTGGGAGGAAGCACATGGATACAAATGAAGTTTCATCACATGGAAACCAAAGTCTGTAATCTGATCTATGCAAATAATTGTATAATGATTAGAGTACTAGATTTAGATTGTGAGAAGCAGGTTCTAATCCCAACCCATATATGAAAGTCAATGGAGAAACATTCGTACAATACCACCATAGTACTATATTCCACATTATAATAATATAATAAAACTTTATTTATACCCCACTCCATCTCCCCCAGGGACACTCGGTGCGGCTTACATGAGGCCATGCCCATCAATACAGTGCATACATTATAATAAAAACACATGACAATACCAGAAATAAAATACATAAAATGCAAAGAAATAAAATAAACAACGCAGACGATATAAAACAAGCAATTAAAAACAGAACGTTAACTGATATGCATGCATTCTTTGGAATCCTGATAATTGGCCATTTTGAAAGGAGCATTTAAAGTTCTTGACTCAAGTCCCTCACCGAACTACAAACCCCAGTATTAGTAGAATGCTGCCATAGCAATTGAAGTGCCATATAACACCGTATTAGTGTAGTACAATCAGGCTCTAAGTGATCTGGGGTAGTCGCTCTCCCTCAACCTAACATGGCTCAAATAACAGTTATGATTATAGAAAGGAGAAAGAAAACAATATATTCTGGCTTGATCTCTGCAAGTATATTCATTATATGCAACAAACCAATGAACATGTTATAACTATATGGGACCCATAGCTCATACATGTTCTTCTATGCCTTCAGTTTGTTTTGAATTTATGTATATGTGGCATGGGTTTTCTTAGCAAGATTTGTTCAGGGAGGTTTTTTTTCTTTGCTTTCCTCCAAGGCTGAAAAATGCAACTTGCCCAAGATCACCCAGTTGGTTTCTATGGCTAGTCTCCAGGATCATAATCCAATGCTCAACCCACTACACTACACTGGATGTTTAATTATAACTCAGAAAATTGTGCATTTCAGTCTCAGAGGTTTCCAGAAATGGTGGTGACTAACTCTCCTGTTGAATTACATGTGATGTAGCAGCACCGAACTAATAATTACACAATCTTTTGATGCCTGTGTTAAAGGTCAATTAACTTCATTTAGGTATTCTTAATATGTATCAATTAACTCAGCTGTTTCTTTTCAATGTATGCAGCAGTGACCCATCAGGCTCAGCTCATTGATTTTGTTTCCAAGAACAAACGATAGACATAAATCCAGTTTTGAAGCGACATGGTCAAATATGAGTTCTCATCTGATCATATTTTTAAAATTGCCCTAAAATGGAAACACCCTTCGGAAAACTAACAAGAACAGTGACTGAATAGGTTCCCTTTGATTTAGTGAATTTATCTAATGAGAACTAATCATTGTATTAAATGGTTCATCTGAAAAGAAATGAAAATACACAATGGGTGGAACTTTGACTAAGGAATTTATTATAACCCCCTCCCCCACAAATGCCATTTTGCCAGCATTGGAGCCAGCACAACATGAGAGCTTTCCCGTGTTGATGAGGAAGCATTCTAGGGAGCTTCCTCACCAGTTGTGGGTGGGGCCTCCACCAGAACTTGAGGGATGTTGTGTGGTGGGCTGTGTGTCCATCCATCCCTCAACTGGCTGACAAGCATCCTAGGATGCTGAAATTGGTGTGAAGAGGTCCTTAGTAGTGATTGTGAATACAGTTATCTACCCATGTTGTTGTTGTTCATTCGTTCAGTCGTCGCCGACTCTTCGTGACCTCATGGACCAGCCCACGCCAGAGCTCCCTGTCGGCCGTTACCACCCCCAGCTCCCTCAAGGTCAGTCCAGTCACTTCAAGGATGCCATCCATCCATCTTGCCCTTGGTCGGCCCCTTTTCCTTTTGCCTTCCACTTTCCCCAGCATAATTGTCTTCTCTAGGCTTTCCTGTCTCCTCATGATGTGGCCAAAGTACTTCAACTTTGTCTCTAGTATCTTTCCCTCCAGTGAGCAGTCGGGCTTTATATCCTGGAGGATGGACTGGTTGGATCTTCTCGCAGTCCAAGGCACTCTCAGAACTTTCCTCCAACACCACAGCTCAAAAGCATCGATCTTCCTTCGCTCAGCCTTCCCTAAGGTCCAGCTCTCACATCCGTAGGTTACTACAGGGAATACCATGGCTTTGACTAGCCGGATCTTTGTTGCCAGTCTGATGTCCTACTCTTCACTATTTTATCAAGATTGGTCATTGCTCTCCTCCCAAGAAGTAAATGTCTTCTGATTTCATGGCTACAGTCCATGTCTGCAGTAATCTTCGTGGCTAGAACATACAAAATCTGCCACTGCCTCCAGGTTTTTCCCCTCTATTTGCCAGCTATCAATCAGTCTAGTGGCCATAATCTTGGTTTTTTATGTTTAACTGCAACCCAGCTTTTGCACTTTCTACTTTCACCTTGGTTAGAAGGCTCCCCAGCTCTTCCTCACTTCCAGCCACAGTGGTATCATCTGCATATCTGAGGTTGTTAATGTTTCTTCCAGCAATTTTCACCCCAGCTTTGCATTCACAGCCCCGCACATCGCATGATGTGTTCTGCATACAAGTTAAAAGGTTGGGTGAGAGGATGCAGCCTTGCCGTACGCCTTTCCCAATCTTGAACCAGTCTGTTGTTCCGTGGTCAGTTCTTACTGTTGCTACTTGGTCCTTGTACAGATTCCTCAGGAGAGAGACAAGGTGGCTTGGTATGCCCATCCCACCAAGAACTTGCCACAATTTATTATGATCCACACAGTCAAAGGCTTCAGAATAGTCAATGAAGCAGAAGTAGATGTTTTTCTGAAACTCCCTGCCTTTCTCCATTATCCAGCGGATATTGGCAATCTGGTCTCTCGTTCCTCTGCCTTTTCTAAACCCAGCTTGAACATCTGGCAACTCTCGCTCCATGTATTGCTGGAGTCTTCCTTGCAGGATCTTGAGCATTACCTTACTGGCATGAGAAATAAGGGCCACTGTACGGAAGTTGGAGCAGTCTTTCGCATTTCCCTTTTTTGGTATGGGGATATAAGTTGATTTTTTCCAGTCTGATGGCCATTCTTGTGTTTTCCATATTTGCTGGCATATGGCATGCATCACCTTGACAGCATCATCTTTTAAGATTTTAAACAGTTCAGCTGGGATCCCGTCGTCTCCTGCTGCCTTGTTGTTAGCAATGCTTCTTAAGGCCCATTCAACCTCACTCCTCAGGATGTCTGGTTCTAATTCATTCACCACACCGTCAAAACTATCCTCAATATTATTATCCTTCCTATACAGATCTTCTGTATAGTCTCGCCAACTTCTCTTGATCTCTTCAGCTTCTGTTAGGTCCCTGCCATCTTTGTTTCTTATCATACCAATTTTTGCCTGAAATTTACCTCCAATGTTTCTAATTTTCTGGAAGAGGTCTCTTGTCCTTCCTATTTTGTTGTCTTCTTCCACTTCCATGCATTGCTTATTTAAAAATAGTTCCTTATCTCTTCTGGCTAACCTCTGGAATTGCGCCATATCTACCCATAGTTGTGTCATATTTAGGATCATTGCATAGTCACATTTTTTTATCATAACCCCCCGCCCCAGGCAACCAATTTGCCAACTATCAGTGCATAGTTGAATGATATTTCTATCAGGCTGAAAAAACAATAGGGATGAGGACAAACACAAATCATAAAACTTGGAAGAATACTGACTGACTTTTCAGTCAGTATTCTTTTCCTATTGGAGCTGACTTTTCCGATTGGAAAACCAGCCTTCTGAGTTTCTTATCTAAATCTGAAAACTGCCCTTGATAGTAAAGTGTCTAATTCTATCAAATCAGGCATTGGCATCTTTCTGGTCATTTTCAAGCCAAAATTGGTATCATTTAAACAGCACAGGAATTTTTGAATTGCTGGACATCATAAAAGTTTGGATTTTTTTTAAAAAAAAATGCTAAAGTATCAATAAGCCTGTGACAAAAGAATGTTTCTTCAGCTTGTTTCTCTGGAATTTTGCAAATCACAAGCATCATTTAGCTCAGGGGTCCTCAAACTAAGGCCCGGGGGCTGGATGCGGCCCTCCAAGGTCTTTTACCCGGCCCTTACTCAGGGTCAACATAAGTCTGAAATGACTTGAAAGCACACAACAACAATAACAACAATCATCAGCCAAAAGTAGGCTCACACTTCCTATTGAAATACTAATATGTTTATAGTTGTTAAAATTGTTCTTCATTTTAATTATTGTATTGTTTTTAAGTGGTTTTGCACCACAAATAAGATATGTGCAGTGTGCATAGGAATTAATTTTTTTTTTCAAATTATAATCTGGCCCTCCAACAGTTTGAGGGACTGTGACCTGGCCCTTTGTTTAAAAAGTTTGAGGACCCCTGATTTAGCTAGTCAAATCTTTGTGTTACTGGCAACTTGTTAAAGACTATTTTATAAAGGAAAAGAGAACTTTATTAATATGAATAAGAAAGGAAGAATAATTACTACAAAATAATGCATTGCTAATTAAAAACAACTTTAAGACGGGGGAACTGGGTAGGATGTATGAAAGAAGAAAGAATTAAGCAACAATACAAACACCACAAAGTAGATGGAAGTCAATTTTTATGTATTATGCTTTTTGCTTTTGTTTGTCTCTTTTTTTCTTTTTTCTTTCTTTTTCTTTTTTCTCAATATTCACTAGCATGATTGTGTCTGTATAAGAAAACTGCTAATAAAAATTATTTAAAAACAATCTCTGTTACTGCTGAAATGTAGCCAGCATTTAGGGGGAAAATTATCAGTTAGTTGTTTTAACTTGATAACCTTACAAAGTGGGGCCCCTGAAGAAGTAAATCAATTGATACTGATGCTGACATGTAATGATATTTTATATATTAACAGCTACCGTATTCTTAGAGTTTTGGAAAAGACGAAGAGCAGTACTAACCTATGATTGGGACCTCATAGACTGGGAAGATGAAGAGGTAAGATTCTAACAAAATGATTTTAATATCCACAGCGATTTAGTTTTAATTTTGCCATGATATCTAATGCATTATTAGTGTTTTGTATGGCAACAGAGTTTAGTTTAATAGTAATTGTTTTATATGCACTTAAAATTCTTATCTGTGGCAAAAACTGGGGAGCATGGAAACTTTTGTTTTTGTGACAATTTATATTATTGTATTATATTAAATTCTTTAGATATTAGAAACATACTTTTAAGAAGAATGGATAAACAGCTTTGTGAAGAAAATAGATGGCTGAAAGCCCATGATGTTCTACCATTGCTATTCCAGAGCAGTTAAATTTCTCTTGTTCTCTCACTTTTAAGGCCTTGTTGCCTCCAGGAATGGATTAATGAGGATTTCCCAATCTTTCAAAGAACACTTTGGGATGTGGTGGGAGGCGATGGTTCAGGAATGGGGTGGAAAGAGGAAGACTTGACCTAAGGAGACAACTTTCACTTGATTCTGCTGCCAGAAGCAGTTTCATAAGAGCTGATTGATTGGATTTAGGCTATTTACACATCTATCTCCATATAGAGGACTTCCTGTTGGGATGATAGTATGTTGGATTCATAGTCAAGTATTGAATTTCTGCATGTTTCTGTAATGTAAGTAGCTGTTGTTACATTACTACATAGGACAGCCAGCAAAGTCACTGATGCACAATGGGATGACTGCACAATGAGACTAGCTAGTAGAGCCTGATGTGCCTTGGGACACTCTTATGCATCTTTGCAATTCACTAACAGAGTTTCTTAGTACCTTTGCCATATAGAGCTCAGATGCCAGTGGTGTTTAACTGGTTAACTAAATTTCAAATGCAATTTAAAAATTTACCCTGTTTTATAAAGTATATATGAAACATGCAAATGAAGAGGGAACTATGTCCCTAAAAGTCTTTTATCGTATTACTGGTCAGTCACCTCAGATGTGAACTGCAAGAAATATTTATAATTTCAGGAAGAGCTTCGCCCCCAGTTTGAAGCAAAATATTCCGAAGTGGAGCGTGTAAATCCTATAACAGGAAAACCTGAACCATTTCAACCCTTCCCTGATAAACTTAGTCGGCTGATGGTGTCTGTGTCAGGAATATTCTTCATGGTAAAGTCTCCAAAATCATTTTGCAAAGGACATATGTGCTAGAGAGTTAATATTATAGTAAATAAGATAATTGGTTCAATGTTTGTATGGCCTATGCAGTCATATAACTCCTACAACTCTCCAATGAATGGCACCAACTTGTTTCTGGTGACGAATTCATTTTTGACCAAATACTACTTATGGGCTTATGTTTTTTTGAATAATGTGAGTTAGTTTGAGCTTTTTCAGGGAATTTTTCACCCAAAAGTATGGGCAGAGGTTTGGAGGATTTGAGAGTCCTGGGAGTCCTAAAAAGAGGTTTGGTCAGTATTATTGGTCATTTTCAAACCAGACTAAACAAATGGTTGAAAAAAGTCAAACAAATCTATAGTCAGTTTTTTTCCATATTTTAATCAGATATTGATTGTTTGTTAGGTTTTCACACACACACCCCCCCCCCCAAATAAATAAATAAACATAATCAGTTTTGTCTGTTTTCAGATTTCATTAGTACTCACAGCAGTCTTCGCAGTTGTTGTCTACCGCCTGGTGGCTATGGAGCAGTTTGCCTCTTTCCAGTGGTATTTCATTAAAAAATATTGGCAATTTGCAACATCAGGCACTGGAGTCTGTATTAACTTCATGATCATCATGTCACTTAATGTTGTAAGTTATTTATCTTTACTCTTTCTGAAGTATGATATAAATCATGTATTAAAATAGAGAATTGGTATACTCTTTTTGCTTTGGCATTACTCTACAAAGTCTCCTGTAGTTGATGATTCTATATCCTTTGATGTTTTTTTTTTCAAAAGATCCTCCAGGCAACCTTTTTTTCCTTAGGCCATCATGCCACCATTATATTATTACTAAGGAACAAAACACAGTTGTGTGTAACAGCAACATGCGCCTTTATGCCTGTGTGTGCTTGCTGCATTAGAGAAATTACTACTTAAGTATTTCTCTTACTATTATCCATGTTTTAAGGCTTATATATAGATCATACGAGCAGGTACAGGCATGTTTGTAAGAAAAACAAAGCTCTTACCAGAAAGCAAACACTCCAGAAAATGAACATCAAGTTTAAATCATATTAAATCATAAGCCACATATACATGACAGAACAATGGGTGTGGTTCTCAATTTCATTGCATGATGGAATCCTGGGATGACACATGTAAGACTAGAAATACTAGTCTAGCAGTATTTTTAATCTCTCAAATAACTGTCATTTATTTATATATTTATTATTTGAGAAATTTATATCCCTCCTTTCTCTAAGCACAGACCCAAGGTGGCTACAACATAACAAAAATACAGTATAAAAGTTAAAACAACTATAAAAACATAAATATTTGAAACAGGAAACACAGTTCAAATCATATAAACATTTAAACCAAGATAAAAACCCGGAGCTTCCTTACAATTCCTTTGGCTTAATTAAATGCTTTATTGAAAAGGAATGTCTTTACCCCCTTCCGGAATGCCATTAAAGAAGCAGCCGATCTTAATAAGAATATTATAATAAAACTTTATTTATGTCCCACCCTATCTCCCCGTGGAGACTCTGGGCAGTTTCCAGCAACTTGTGATAAACATTCAATGCCATGCAATACTAAACTAAGAACGAACTAAACGAAACCACCCAAATCCCAAATCATGCCAAACATCCACATCAAAATAATAATAAAGACAGCACCAAACATTAGACAATGACATAACTAATTTATGTTTTCACAGTTAAACATTAATAACAGACTGAAGGATAAACACCAAAAGCGATAAAAACTTTTAAAAAAATTTAAAAGCCAACATAGCCAGAGTGACAAGCCATTTTTGTTCCGTAGTATCATTGATCTTCTATGCCTCCTCCTCGCTATGTGCTTCAGTGCATAAGAAACATTTTAATTGTTTTTTAAAAGAGAGTAAAGAGGGGGGCATTTTGATTTCTTTTGGGAGGGAGTTCCAGAGGCAGTGTGGAACTCCTCAGGCAGTGTGTACCATAACGTAGGGGCCACCTAAAAACAAGCCCTCTGTGATTCTCTCAGCATGCTTCACAGAAAGTGCCTTGATCAATATCAAAGTCTCTCCCCACTGAATCCCCCAGAGTCCATGACATGATGCAGGGCTACTTCTGGTGGGATGCCATGGAGCTCTGTGTCAGCAGCATTGAGGCAGCAGAGTCCAGTGGAGTTGAGAGTACACAGAACAGAAGAGGAAGAGGGGTTAAATGGGGAAATGTCATGGGAATGGAGACTATCTAGGATTATGGTGATAGTTTGCAAAATGTGTGTTCATTTCTGATTTCTTGGTAGGTGTATGAAAAAGTTGCCTATCTCCTAACAGATTTAGGTGAGTAATAGTTACGGCTGCTGTGATAGTTTATATCTTGTCTATAATTGTGGAAATATCTATTACACTTTAATAATTCAAGTGTCTAGGGAAGCAGAAATCATCATATATCCAATAGCAAGATACCTGTTGTGCATGAAAGAAAATTAATCTGATTGAAAGAACAACATGTCCTACAAGATATTAATCAGACACAAAGGCCTTACAAAATGTTTAGTGAACATGTTTGACTCACACCTTCATTTTGCCAATAACTGCTAGTGGGATCTAATTGTGGAGTTTGTTTCCAAAGGTACCAACTCAATAATAATAATAATAATAATAATAATAATAATAATAATAATAAGAAGAAGAAGAAGAAGAAGAAGAAGAAGAAGAAGAAGAAGAACAACAACAACAACAACAACAACAACAATAAAAACTACTACAACAACAGGTTATTGGCGGCAGCACATTGTTGGCTAGGAGTAGAATATTATGTACAGATCAAAACTATCATAATGTATCAAATTACTTTGGTACAGGGCTTAGAAAATTGCATTTTGTAACAAAAGAATGCATATTCCCAGCATGTTTTTTTTCTATTCCTGTAAAGATTTGTTCAGATTGATTTGGTACCTTTTAGAAACTAACTCCAACATTGTAAAAGGAAATGTTGATTTATTGTAATGTAGTATACAGTGGTTTAGTACCTTATTGCAATAATTTGAAATACTATAAATATCCGCCATCCTTGGATGATCCTGGAGGGACAGAAAATTGATGCCAAGAGCCACTGCCGTTGTCCACTCCGAAAAACCCCTTTGTCAAGATGAGCTCTTTTAATGGGTTCCTGGCAGGCTAACATGAGTGAGTTTATTGGTGCAAATCCCTGAGGTGCATGCAGCCAGAGAAAATATCAGGATGCATCTTGGAAGAACATGCAAAGGCCCTTATGGGGTGAGTGGGGGTGCTGCCTTGAAAAGGCGGGTTTGGGGAAAACATACAGCTCTTGATGTAGGCTTTTAGGCCAAGGCAATTAATACTTGGCCTAAAAGTTAATTATGGAGTTAATTATGGAGAAAAATGTATAATGTAAAATCTTTCAGAAACTTATCTTGTTTTGTTTTTGTAGAACATCCTAGAACAGACTCGGAGTGGGAAAACAGTTTTGCCCTGAAAATGTTTCTCTTCCAGTTTGTCAACTTAAACAGTTCAATTTTCTACATTGCTTTCTTCCTTGGAAGGTATATTAATTTCAAGAGTTGGGGAGGGTTAAAAGCATAAAAAAATAATTTTATTATGCACTAAATTGGTTTATTAGATAGATGAAGACATGTTTTGATTGCATTAAACAGTCTGTTTATTTCATTTGTATGCCTCCTTTCTCTTGAATCAGAATTATTTGTTTGATAGAATCATAGAGTTGGAAGAGATCACAAATGTCATTTCATTCAACCCCATCCTGTCAAACAGGAATATGAAATAAAAATGATACTCCATTGTTTATTAAAAACAGGGCTGTCAAAGCTGTCTAACAATAAAATGAATAAAAGAGTTAGAAATTAAAATATAAACCAGCTTAATTAAAGCAGTCTAGAACAGTCTGTGGCCCTCCAGGTGATTTGGACTCCAGCCTCCAGAATTCCTGACTATTGGATAGGGTGGCTAAGTCTTCCAGGAGTTGGAGTCCCAAACACCTGGAAGGCCACAGGTTGTGTAGGCCTGGTCTACAACAAAGATTCTCAATAGACCTTTGGTCCTCAAAGCAGCTTGGGCTGAGAACCACTGATCCAGGGTAATACAGAACACTAAAGAGAAAGTGAATTATACTTGCTTCCCCAACAACTAACTATAGTACGGGAATCTCCACAAATCAATTTTATGTGTATATAGATAAAGACACAAATTGAAAAAATATGTGCACATACATTTATGATTAAAATACATTTCCCTGTTTCAGAAGTCCTCACTATGTATGCTTGCTTTGGGACTCCATAACCAATATCAAGTATCAATAATTGCATGCCGTTTGCAATACCAGCACATGTGGTGCCATCAACTTGAACCCCTTCCAATGTTTTTGACTACAATTTCTATCAGCTCCAGACTATTGGTCAGGGTGATGGTGATAATAGTCAGTGCCCTGAATCCAATTCTTTGTCCCAGCCAGAGTACACCCACTGGAACAAAATGTATGTCAGCGTTTATGTAATTCTAGTTGAGATATAGACAGTAAGCATTTTTATGGATCCGGGTTGTAGAAGAACGATAAACACTTCCTCTTAAAAATCAGTTGTTGTCAATTACCATATTTACTTCAGTCTAATGCTTACCTTTTTAAACCAAATTACATTGGCAAAACTCAAGTGTGCATTAGATTTGATGACACATTAGAATCACATACATGAACCCACCTATTTTTATTTATTTATTTATTTGTTTGTTTACAGTATTTATATTCCACCCTTCTCACCCCACAGGGGACTCAGGGCGGATTACAATGTACATATGCATGGCAAACATTCAATGCCATAGGCACACGACTTATGTGAAAGACCAGGAGGGACCCAGAACCTCAGAATTTAATCAAAAATTAACTTAAAGAGCTTTCAGATTTTTTAAAGAAATTTTCCCCTTCCAAGTTTCACTCACAAATAGAAATCTCATTTTACAGATTTGCTGGACGCCCTGGAAAATACAACAAACTTTTTAACAGATGGAGATTGGAAGAGGTAAGGTCTTTTTCATTCATACCAGCAGGCAACATCACCATAGGTTTAACATCCATTTACACAATTTATTTCAGTTTGCTCCTAACAGATGAATAATGCCCCCCAATAATGTCTGATACTTTATAAAAATATTGCATAATATAATTAAAAAAACTATATATGTCTGTTGATTGTGTTTTTTCTTACATATATGGTAAAAGATAGAAAGTGATGAGTTTTCTGTAATCATTTAAAGCTAAAATCCCTTAGGAAATGTGAATATAGTAACATTTCTTCCTTTAGTGTCATCCTAGTGGCTGCTTGATAGACCTCTGCTTGCAGATGGGAGTTATCATGGTTTTAAAACAAATGTGGAACAACTTTATGGAGCTTGGCTATCCGTAAGTACCATGGAAAGTACCATTTTTCATAAATATATGATGACGGAAATGTAGGCCAGAATTCTATATCGGCTTCTTAGTTAAGTATACGTAAGTAACTTCTCCTGACCTGACACCTCCTCCACATAATGGGATGTAAATTTATTCAGCTGTGTTCTGATTGGAAACAGAATGGACCTCCTTTTCCCCATGAAGTTGATGCCCAGTTAAGTAGCTTGTGAGAAAGAGCTACGATCATGGCAATAGTGTCAAAATTGTGAATAAGTAGTAGCTGTGAATACTAAACAGTTCAGATTAGTAAATCTGGGTAACTCTACTGTATACCCAATCACTATTTACTCAAGATTTTGACACTGTTACCAGAATCATAGGTTCTCATCACTACTTTTGATGGGCATCACTGAATGGGGAGAAGATAGTCCATTCTGCCAATAACTGGGGTGTGAGTGAATGATGTTTCTATCTGGGAGAGAGTCCACTTCTGTGTCTGAAAAAATGCACATTTATTGATGGTATAGTTCAGAGCTTAAAATTTATGTAATATTAATTAATTTGTGAATAATGTTTCTGGAGTGGTTTCAAGGAGACCCAGTTCACCCTGTTTGCCAGAGAAAGAGGTAGTCTGAGGAGTTTGGGAAGTAGTGTTCAAGCATGTGAAAACAGTCTTGGAAGGTCATCTGTTGCCCTAAAGTCACACTTGCCCACTTGTACAGTTTTGAACAATGTTGTATTTTGAAAAATTATCCAAGAATGTTTAGAAGTGCCAAAATGCTAATGACTTGATGAATCACTACACCAGCAGGGATTTCCTCCCCTTAGGAGATGAAAGTTCACAACTAATGAGAGCAATTCAATGCACATTTAGGAAGATAGTGATTAATAAAGTCATAATCAGAATGATTTCATACCTATTGCAAGTGGCTTAGATTTTACACTCTGAGTATCCAATCTAGGTTACTACAAAACTGGTGGTCACGGCGCAAGATCAAGAAAGGAGGCCAGTTACTGGAGCATAAATTTTCTCTACCTCAATGGGAAAAAGATTGGAATCTACAGCCCATGAATCTCCATGGTCTGATGGATGAGTATTTAGAGATGGGTGAGCATGATAGTGGAGATACTGTTTTTTCTTATACTGGACACATTGAAAGATTCAATGTCATAAAGTTATTTTTTCAGTCATATTTTTGATATAGTGCTCCTTCCTCCCCACTTTCTAATCTCTGGACTTTCTTTCCAGTTCTACAGTTTGGCTTTACTACTATTTTTGTTGCTGCTTTCCCACTTGCACCTCTACTGGCATTGCTTAACAATATCATAGAAATCAGGCTTGATGCATATAAATTTGTTACACAATGGAGGCGGCCGATGCCTGCAAGAGCAACAGATATAGGTGAGAAAAAGCACATTGCATTACAGTATGTGGGTTAATCTAGTTTGTGATTTTTTAAACTTTGTATTTTTAAAATGAATAATAATAACCTAGGTTCTTGTGGGTTTTTTCGGGCTATAGAGCCATGTTCTAGAGGCATTTCTCCTGACGTTTCGCCTGCATCTATGGCAAGCATCCTCAGAGGTTGAGAAGGATGCTTGCCATAGATGCAGGCGAAACGTCAGGAGAAATGCCTCTAGAACATGGCTCTATAGCCCGAAAAAACCCACAAGAACCTAGTGATTCCAGCCATGAAAGCCTTCGACAATACAATAATAACCTAGTTTGTGAATATTTTAAAGTGAAACATGATCTACAATTTTTACAAATGAAATGTAAATTAGAGAGTAGGGCCCCTTCCACACAGCTGAATAAAATCCCACATTATCTGCTTTGAACTGGAATATATGCCAGTGTAGACTCAGATAACCCAATTCAAAGCAGATATTGTGGGATTTTCTGCCTTGATATTCTTGGTTATATGACTGTGTGGAAGGGCCCTCTTATTTTTAAAAGAGTTAACTATTTGGGTGGGCAACTGTGATGCACCTGGGCACGATGTTACTAACAAAAATACCACAAACATGAAAAAAACTGGATGGAAAATGTTCAACTGTGTGGTGAATTGCTTCTCAATACACAATATGCTCTTTTTTGGACAAAATAAATGATGGTCAGAGGCTACAAAAACAGTATTAAGATGGGAGCAGCTGCTTGTATCCCTATGATCGCAGTTTGCATACTGGTGTATATGCTGATGTTGTTGTAGAACCTGTTAAGGTATTCCTGTTATTACTGTGTATTGTTAATGTGTTTTCATCTATACATTATCTCTCTTTTTTTAAAAAAAAAAAAAAGCTTAGACATGTAGATTTCCTTCCTGATATTTGTGTGTTTTTATTTATATTTTCTCATAGCTTAAACCATTGACACATACATAGTAAATCTACTTGACACTGGTCCTATTGATTGCACAGAAAGCAATACTGTCCCATTTCAGATTTGCTTGAGAAAAATGTTTATTTTCTATTCATGGATTTCTCTCAGCTGTATAGAATGTTAAGTAAACAGGCTACAGCTTCATACCATAGCCCTTTTTTAGATATGAAAGGCATGGTGAAAAGGATTCTCTTAATTGTAAACCCTATTTCTACTGTGCTGGCATGAAACATAAACATAGTGCAGTCAGATTTATGATCATACAGTAAGATTTCTTTCCTTTGTCCTTTGACCACAGATCACCTGCATCTCTTTTTGAAAGGTCTTCCAATAGAAATAATATAATCAGCTCCAACAAGTTGTTTTTTAGTAGCCTGAGTGGGGCAATGTGATGTTTAAAATATAAAACATCATTGAATTAGAACTGAGTTACTTTCATGACTCAGAAGGTGACTTTTTAAAGTAATCCATACTATCACTCATTGAAGTTTAAGTACTCTACATTGATGGAAACATGTTACTTATTGGTCTTATTCTTCTACTACTACTTTCCCTTAATATTTGAGAAAGAATCACATAAAAAGTGGTTTAAACAAATAATTCATATCAAGGGTCCTTAATTTTTTAAAAGAGGAAAACATTGTTCATTGTATATCAATTTTTTAAAAAAACACTGTTGTTCTTCATCTGATTTTTGAAAGTTAATAAATAAACATAACTAGTCACATGTAATAGGGTTACTTGTGATTTGTTAATTGTGTGTTCTGGCTACTACATTGATATGATGAGCAAAAGGATATTTTTATGCATGTTGACAGGATTTTTTCAAGTTTTATGCCATTCTCTCATCAACCCTAATTTACTGGCACAAGGTTTTGAGTAATGAAAGATCACAGAAAAAATAACAAGCAACACAACAATTAATACAATATATAAATCACATTATTTATAAAGACAAATAAATTATATGCTTCTTTAACACTATAAGAAAAAGCAGGAATGGCTTACTTTTAAAAATGTACATGTATAAGTCGTTTTTGGCCTTTTAGAGCAGATTCAGAGTTGTACTGGAGGAGATAACAGTGCTCCTTCTGGTGCCTGATGGATATTGCTGGCTAAAGCCCAATCCTTCTACTATTCTTTTTGGACAGGACTATTGAGAAACCCCAATATTAATCCCAATTTGAACCCAAACAAAATCACCTTTGGAATGCGATCTTATAATCTATGAGCCATGTCTAGTGTTTCTGGTTTTGGATTTCGTCTTATCCTAAATATTCTCTGCTAGGTATTTGGTATGGGATCCTTGAAGGAATAGGAGTCTTGGCTGTAATCACCAATGCTTTTGTTATTGCCATTACATCAGACTACATCCCACGTTTTGTATATGCATATAAATATGGACCCTGTGTTGATCAAGGATACAGACAGGAAAAGTAAGTATACTTTATATAACTGTTTAGGTGCTGTATTTTTTATCATTTTGACAAATGTTTCTTAGAGGCTTCTACTTATTTCCTCCTTTCTCCTCCTCCATCCCTTTTTCCTCACCTTTATTTGACTGTACAATTTACATTTTTATTACACTTGCTACACTAGATGTAATTGTTTGCACAGATGGCAATGCAAGCAGGATCAGAAATCGACCATAGTATTCATTCTGTATTGGATCACTGAGATCATCCAATTAGTAGCACTGTAATACTAGGAAAAAGGTACCCAAAGGTCTACCTATTCTATTATTATTCTTGACACAGAAACATATACAGAATGTTATTTCCATCACCTTGGAGAAAAGAATGACATATGTATCTCCACAGACCAAAGATTCCCCACTCACCCCCACCCCCACCCCTACCCCTACCCCTTTAGATGCTGAATTGATAGGATCGAAAACTTGGAAAGGACCTCTGTATTTAAGCAGGTCAATATGAGAAAAGATGCTCCCATTCCTGCATGAGTATGGTTTTGCACTAATAGAGGTCAAGGCAGGGCAACCCATTTTAATGAGTCCTTTAAATACTCACTATAGCCCCTTCACTTCCATTCCCTGAAATTGCCCCTTTGAGTTAGCTGCAAATAACTAGAGGGTATCAGAAAAAATTAGGAATCCCAAATTATGCACACCATTACTACTGGATGCAACTTATAATGCAGATCTTTGTTTCAGCTGCTGAACTTTTCTTCACTGACAGTATTTTCTTCTTGTGAAGTCTTTACCATGTTTGCCTATGAGGGTTTTTTTTGTTTTGTTTTCTAGTTTTGGTTTTTGTTTGTTTGTTTGTTTGTTTGTTTTGGAAATCTGATTTAGTTTCCACATCTGAAAAGAAAATCTTACAATTTACATAACAAGACACCAGGGACCTGCGGTGTCTCATCCCAAGATTTTTAGTGGGATATTGTGGGGAGAGGATGGATTTCAAATCTCAATATTACTTCTTCTGCATATTGAAGAATTCAATATAAAAAGGTGGCTAACTTAGAGAAAATGTCAGCTGCTCTTAAGCTAATTACAATATTTTAGCATTCAACTGATTAAAATGTATAATTTTTTTCTGGACACATCAATGTTACTATCACAACTCATATTTTAACTGACAATGTGTTTTCTTATTCTTCGGCTTTTCAGTTACACATTTAATAGGTGGGTATGTATGAAGGGACTATTGCTTAGCACAGATAGCTGGGTTTTTTTTCTAATTCTGCTTCATCATCCATAGCAGTTTCCTGGCCTTAACCTTCTTTGCAATATCTCCCATATTTATCACACTGGGAGGAATAAAAGAATGAGCTTCAGACCTTAGCTTCAGTCATATCTTCATCAAATGCTGTCATTAAAATACCTTGACATAAACCTCGTTTGATCATGAACTGAATGAGACCAAATCTCCTGTTGACTGTATTCTCTCTCAAATAATATCAAACTCCCCAAAGTAAATGATAAATTCTGTGTTTTTACAGAGATTGCTCCTTGTTTGCTTTCAATCTAATTTCAAATGACATACAAAAAAATGAAAAAGATTATAGCATACTGTGGTAGACATCGATTGTTTACATTTTCTCTCTCTACATAACACTATATGGTGCTAAATTTTCTCCAGAGAAGATTTTATGTACCATCAAAGGACCAATGTTTAACTTTTGCATAACATTTTCTTTTTCCTGCTGTTCCTGAAGCTTGACTCCAATCAGTTGGATATCCGCTTGTAAATACGTTTATTAGGACCTTATGAAGCCAATTCCATTTGGCTACTTGCAAATGTCATAAACACTAATCAGAAGTCTGTACTTCACCGAGTAGATCAGATCTTCCCCATGGAAGGCATTTTATTCATGATTATAGACTTATCCATGCTTGAAGGCCACAGAAGGCATAACGTTGTCTTAGGTCATGGTATGCATTGTAAGAATCCCTCTCATACTCTGGGGTAGACACAGGTCACTTGGTGCAGCCTGGCATAGAAGCTGGTACTAAAATGGATGAAAGTTGAAGCTTCCTTGAAATGTAGCAAGACTTCAATAAGTATTACCTGGACACAGTTCAGATTCTTTGCCCCATGGTAAGTTGTTCAAGAAGATTTCATATGTAGTTCCCCTTCCAGGACAATTTCCACCCATGTGTGCAACAAATACCTGTCCAGAAAATAGGAGGAGAGATCCCCTATTATCCCCTACCATTATACCCCACTTTTCATGTCAACAGTTGCATTCATTACTTCATTACTGAGGTCCTCGTGCACAGTAGTTAGCATGCAGACTGATATTGTGTGTGAGGACAATTTGGTGCACAAAAGAATTTGGTGCACAAAAGCTGTTTTTATATTGTCATTTGGCACCATTATTAAAATTAACCCAATTTTTTTCATTCTGGGAAAGGCGATCTACTTTATTGAGCACCAATGAGTTTGTCAGTGTTTCAAAACTGAATGTGCAGCTTGCAGACAATTATTTACCAACATTTTTTCTTATATTCAAATTAAATTTTCACTTATGTTCATCCTTTCCAAATATTCCAATGTAGCAAGGATATTCTTGATTAATCTTTTGTCATTCTACTTTTTCAGCTGCTTTTAAAATGTCCTGCTTTCTCTGTTTTCCTCTCACTCTCTCCTTTTACCTTCAGCTTACTGGAAGCTGATTTCAATTTGCAAACATTCAGTGGGAGAGAAAGGAGATAGTAGAACCTTGTCCTTCTCAGTAGGCTTATGCAAACGCAAATGGCTGCAGCCTTGCTTCCTCTCCCTCCCCAATTAATAAATTTCATCATCTGGTCCACTCTCTGGCATTGCTTGGCCATACATCTGAGTATGGCATTGCTTGGCCATACATCTGTGAAATGTTTGGAGGGTATGCATATTTTTTCCAAACATAATTGTCTTATATGTCAATGTTTTGAGGGTTCCTTGTAACATAAATCTTGCTATATCATTTTTAAAAATAAATAATAATTTTGCCCTCATTATCCACTGACAATATGATAGGCATGGCATAATAACCATAGGCAATGGCAAGGAAAGTGAAGAGAATATGCTTTGTGGGCAAAATCTTTTATGACCTTTATTTTGAAATACTTACTTGGTATTGTTTTTTCCAGATGTTTGAGGGGATATGTCAATAGCAGCTTATCAATATTTGATCTGAGTGAACTTGGTATGGGATATTCAGGATACTGCAGGTAAGTAGTATAGAAATACTGGAATGGGGAGATGACTAGGGCAATAGACACGATCGCTCCAGAACGTCCCCTCTCAAGTAGCCGAGCTA